TAACTTTTGAACGGACCGTCGGATTTTGACATATGACCCCTCATTCGACGGGTATTTTCAAAAGGAACACAACTAAAATATTGCGAGGGGGCATTTATCCCCACCGGCCCCAACAGCTCCAAATTTCGAAATTTTCACTTTTTCACTTTCACCGCTCTCTCTCCCAACCCAATTGATTTTCTTAAAGTCTTGGTATGCAATCCTGTTAGTTTTCGCTATACCTTTCGATAGGTGTATCATTCATTATGATCGGACCATCACAGTAGATTTTCATTTCTTCGTGTATATATAGTAGTCGCCTTCGCACACTCTCCTGGTGCGCTTCGTCACTACATGGACTGCCGTCCATAGTGATCTTTCGGAATGTAGAATAAATTTTTCAAATCAAATAATGGAATTCAAGCATCCCCATCGCACTTTCTTTAGCTGAGTAACGGGTATCTGATAGTCGAGGTACTCAACTACTCTCTTGATCCATATCTTGTCGCTAAACGAAGTAATTTTTAAAATTTTGAATTTAGATTACAATAGCGACGGATTGGACGAAAAACCCCCAAAACCACCCTCTGCCTACGCCATGCGCGGATCCACGGGGGGTGATATGGTATCAGGATATGGTGAAAGTAATTTCGGTATTCAAATCCTAGATCTACCACTGGCCTACGCCCCTGATTAAGTGACATTCTCCATGCAATTTTTCAGGACTAAGACAACTAAAGCAACTAAAATGTAGCAGTGTACAATCAAACAAAAATACTTCTTAACGAATAAAAAACGTGATCGCACCTTCAACATCTAAATGATTTGATATAAAAAGTCTTTTTTCACTATCTGAATTTTACCAATTTAAGCTTCTAACCAGACGGGCATGTTACAATAGAACCCAAATACAGCGTTTTGTGACAAACAGACCGACGAAAATATTCATTTTGAAAAGTCCTCCAAAGTCTGGTTTTCGGAATAGCTAGTCTTAGGGCCGTTTTCTCGTCCGCCTGTTAAATTTAAAGTAGGGTTAAAACTCTGATTTCCCATACGATATCAAGGTTTTAGCCCTACTTTAAATTTAACAAACGGACGAGAAAACGGCCCTTAAAGGATCCACTTACTTGTATAAGTTATAACTACCCCATTTTCTTTTTGCCCTTCCTAAAACTATGCAACAAAAACTTTTACAACGTTCCAGTTGGATTTCTGGTTTTGTATTATTTATTCCCACATCCAAATGCTAAACCAAGTCATTAAAAGCCAGATATTAAAGTACAAAACATACGCGCATATTTTTATTTTCTCACGAGTTTTTAAATAAATTTGACTCTAGGCAGTCTTCTCGTACATTTTTCTTGTTGTTTAACAACTCTGCAGCATGTTAGTCTTGAGAAATGGGAAAACAACACACGAATGGGGTCGGCGTAAAAATAAAAAGAACTGAATGCTTGGAAAGTCACAGGAAAAGTAAAACCAATGTTTAATCGAATTTAATTCACTTCTAAAGAGTAGAGTTGTTTGAGTTTGGCGTGTTTAAGGCGTTAATCGTTTGGGGTCGCGTGGGAACATGGAGGTTTTGCGGATGTTGTCCAATCCCAGATACAGCATCACCACGCGCTCCATGCCAATACCACCGCCAGCATGCGGGGGACATCCGTAGCGGAAGGATTCAATATACGCCGCAATCTTGGAAGTATCTAAAAATAAAAAAATTAAGAATATTTTTAGTAAATGCAAATAAAATTAAGCAACCACCATGTGTTGCTATCGTACACAATAATATTATTGTGTGAACAAATTTTCACTATCTATCGCTCGTTATCATAACAGTGCAAACGCTTTGAATTAGCACTTGAGAGGTATTTCTATTTGTTTTTTTACAGATCTTGTGACTAGCTGACTTAAGGGTATCTCAAGTTTTACCTTATTCTATAAACTTATGAAACAAAACACAGTTCTCATAGTTAAATAAACTATTTAAGTAACACTCACCGATGCCATGGTGCTTGGCCCGCTCTATTAAGTACTCTGGGTCGTGAATACGCTGCGCCCCGGACAGGATCTCCTCGCCGCGCATGAACATATCGTAGGAGTTGGAGTAGACGGGATTGTTCGGATCGGGCATGGTGTAGAAGGGCCGTATCGCCAAGGGGAACTTGTCGAGGATGTAGAAATCAGTGTCGTACTTGGCCTTCACCAGGCGGCCGAGAAGCTTCTCATTGGGCGTCGACAAATCCTCCTCGTCGCCCGTCTCCACGCCGGCCTCGCGCAACATGGCCACGCCATCGGCAAACTGGAGGATTAGCGGCGGCTCCAGGAACTTAAAGGCGTCGACCTTGTACTGCTGGCCCACAGACTCGATCTCGCGGGCGTACTTGTCGCGCAGTCCCTTGAAAATGGCCGTAAACGTGTTGCCAATTGTGTGCAGCACCTCGTGGTAATGGTACTTGAAGGCCATCTCCAAGTCGAGGCCCACGAACTCGGTCAAGTGCCGATGAGTGTTCGAATCCTCCGCCCGGAAAACGGCGCCCACCGTGTAGACTTTGTCAAAGTCGGCCGCGATAGCCATCTGCTTGTACAGCTGCGGCGACTGCGCCAGATAGGCCGAATCCTTGAAGTAGCTCACGGTGAACACGTTGGCGCCTCCCTCACTGGCCGCCGAAATGATCTTGGGCGTGTGGATCTCGGTGAAGCCCTTCTCGGTGAGGATATCACGGAACAGGCGGCACACTCCCGCTTCCAACCGGAAAATGGCCTGGTTCGCCGGAGTCCGCAGATCCAGCACTCGGTTGTCCAGTCGCGTGTCCTGGTTCACGCGAATATTGAGCCCCTCCGCATCATCGGCGAGCTCGGGACGCGAGGCATCCTCAATTTGCAACGGCAGCTGGGCCTTGGCCTGGGAAATCACGAATATCTGTTCGACGGACAGCTCCAGCGATTGCTCTGTGCAGGATTCAATCTTGCTGGACACGGCCACTGCCTTCGCTTGGATATCGATAATGCTCTCCTTGGGAATACTGAAAAGGAAATGGGTTGTAAGTTTAGTTGTCTAAGGTAGCTTTAAGCTACTAGCTTATTGAGAACTTTTCTTTTATGATGATAATACCAGGGACAAAAAAATCATCTATATCCGCAATGATTTTATACTTCTTAATTTTTATGCATTTTACTCAATTTTAATAATTATTTGATCTTCAATATATATAAAAAATTATTTTTTAAACTTTTTTTCAAATCTAAAAATTGGTTTTTGGGTTCGTCGAGACTCATTTTATAATGCTGCGCAAACCTTTTTCCAATAGAACCTCTGAGCGAAAAAAAAAACGCTTAAAAAATAATCATTAAGCGAAAAAATAACGCTTAAAAAATAATCATTAGGCGAAAAATAACGCTTAAAAAATAATCATTATTTTTTGATCGCTATTTTTTTTTGCTCACAATTATAATAATTATTCTTTGAGCGATTGAAAAAAAACTTTTTCAAAATGGAGTAAAATTTATAAAAATCAATAAATAATTATTAAATATTGATTTTTACTATATCACTTATAATGTTTACGGTCCCTAGATAATACACGTATAACGATCTCAAAATACAATCATAAATTCTTATCAAAATGAATGATGCAAATATCTATATAAGCAGAGCAATTTTGATATGATATCGATATATTTTTCTGAGGAACAGCGACACTTACTTGCCCGCGAACTTGACCATCTGCTTGGATATGACATCGCCAACGGCCAGGATGCACTGCACCGTGCTGCTCTGCTGGCGCAGGATGAGGAAGCACTGTTTGCCCTTGGATCGCGACGTGTGGACGCGTCCGCGCACCCAGACGAGTCCCTTGGCCACCTGGCCACTCAGTTCCGAGACGGGGACAAAGTTGCGTTCGCTGCGCTTATCCTTGGATTGGATCATCTCGGAGAGGCCGTATTTGCCGGCGGCATGATCCTCGGCAGAATCTCCGGCCGCATTGTTGGCAGCCACGGCAGAGGCCGTCTCCGCTTTCTGTTCGGCTTTCTGTACGGATAGAGATTAAAGCTGTTATCAGGGGTTCAAGAATCGTCGCACGCCACGTCCGCAGATCGAAGATACCCACCTTGGCGGCCTTGGCCAGCTTCTTGGCTCCCTTCTTGGAGACCTGCTCCCCGTTGGCCACGTTCTCCTTGTCCTCGACCATCTTGGAATGCACAAAATCGGCTGTAAAGGGAGAAGGGGTGTATATTTTACAAGGGTGTCACAAAACTAGACCGTAAACCGCAGAGTTCCGATAAGCAACAGGCGAACAAGGAGAAGTGCGTTGCGTCATGGTTTTATAAATAGCACTTGAGGCGGTTGAAGTGCCCCATTTGCGAATAGATGGCATTGTCTTCCGGCTTGCAGTTCAATCACCCGTTCTCATCCCACATAAACCATATGTCCATGGAATATTTCCGAGGGCCAGGGGAACTCTTTGTCTAGCGGCTCGCACATAACCTAAACGCTGCGGCCCCCATTTCGCTGAATAAACACAGGCGCTCACTTGAAGCCCCTTCACTTATTGATTGTCGCAATTGTGCAGTCGGCTGCACTCGGCTTACCAGCTAGATTTTGCCCTTTTAATACACAAACGAAAAGATTTCACGAGCGTCGTGTACTATTGCACATGCCAGCAGCGCGGTGCAGTCTAGAGACTTTTTATCGGCGTTATCGATAGGTATCGGTAGGTGCATGCCTGTTTGCAGGGTGGTGAACTTGTGACGTCACTTTGGGTTTTGGGCTGTAATATAAATTTTAAAAAAATGATAATAAGGTTTTTTGTATTTTTAAATAAATATTTTTAAAGCAGTTTACTAATAATTCGGTCATAATTTAAAAATAAAACATAAGGAGCCATTCTTTTCACTCTTTCTTGACAAATGATGTAGTTTTAGTTATCAGGTTTTTAATATTTATTTAAATTTATTTTTCAAATCAAGTGCTTTAAAAACTCCGGTTAAGACACCTTCTAAAAATAGTCCCTCATCCCTTTCGATTGTCACACATCTGCGTTTCGATAACCGTCAGCGGGCGCATCTCTGTTATTTTTCACAAAAAAAACAATTATTCAGGAAAACAACACTCATTTGTTTGTTTAGATCGAATTGCAGCGGAATCCAGAGGTAATTACTCATTCGAAGGCACTAATTTCGGAAGAGGGCAGGTCATATGTCACGGCAATCGCTTTTCGAATAGTGTACTTTCCCGGTAATTTCGAGAAGCTGGTAAATGAGTGAGTCACCACTTGTATTACTGCGAACTGCTGTGTGGGTTCGTGTGTATATGGATTTTGCGCGTGTGGTGCTCCAGCTGAACCAATTTAATAGCTGCGACTAGATTAAAGCGTTTAGCTTGCGGGTCAACGTATAGGTAGAGTTAATAAACGGCCCTTGCCATTTTAGGAGTACCCACACCCGAAAGATCAAAAAGCACACGTCATACGGCGGCCACAACAAACAGAACTTTCCCAGCTCAGTACGCAAGTGCCAAATTGATTGATAATTAAAGTTGCATGCCACGAAAGAGTGAAACCAGAAACTATGTACACTTTGTGGTCACTAATTTAATTAGCTAATCACTTGGTATCCTCTCTCTCTTTGCAGGTAAAAAACCATCGGAAGAATGCAAGGTGAGTGCAAATAGGACAGGCCGTACTAACAGAATTTCTTTCGGATCTACTCCACAGCGGTTTTTGGAATTAGAAAGCCCTAGAGCGAAGTCCCTCGAGAATGTCCTGGCAAAGTGTTCCCCAGTACCCCCAGTACCAAGGTTCAATCTTTTGACTTCTAAGCGCGTGTTTCTGCTTACCCGGTTTATATGATCGCATGCTTTTGTTCGTCCCCGAGAGGCTTGTGACTCTTTGCCCAGAGCCTCCCCAAGTTCTGATTCATTTCCATTACTTCTCTCTTAACATTTAGTATCTGTACCGTCTTATCATGGTTGTATGTACATATTTGCTCGAGATTGTTTCTTGGTTAACCGCATCTCTTCGTCACAGCGAAGCGTTTCATTTCGAATTTGTAGTTCTCGGTAGACAGATAACTGTAGCGGAAAGTCTTGGATTTCCCCGTTTTTGAATGCGAACTAAGAGCAAATGTCGTACTCCACAGATCCCAACCAACAGTACAACTATGGCGGCGGCTATCCGCCCCAGGGAGGATATGGCGGAGGATATCCGCCTCAGGGAGGCTACCCACCGCAAGGACCGCCGCAGGGCTATCCCCCGTACGCCCAGGGAGGAGCCCAGCCCTATCCACAGCCCTACGGGCAGGGTCCTCCCCCCGGCGGCTATGCCCCCCAGCCGGGATTCATCCAGCCACCACCATCGGCCGGCGGCTATGGGGCCTACGATGATCCGGAGAGCCAGCCCAAGAACTTTTCCTTCGACGACCAGAGCATCCGGCGCGGATTCATACGCAAGGTGTACCTGATTCTGATGGTGAGTCTGCATACCACTCGATATTAATCAACTTAATGATCAAATTGATAAGATAGGATGGTTTTGTGATAGGGCAGAGGTCTGTAAGTTGGGACAGTCGACGTTCTCAGATTTTTGTAATATTTTTAGTGGTACATCTATCAGTAAAAAATTGTAGCTCAGGCTCAAGCAATATTTAAACTGAAAAAGTAGACTGTTTTTTCACTTCTTTTAAAATTTACTAAAAGTTTAATAATGTGCCTAAGCCTTTGGGAAAAAAGGTTACAAACATAAGTTTTTAAATTCCTAATTTCCTAATTCCTAATAATCCAAATTTGTTTTTTACAGTTATAATAAAATGTATTAATTTGTTCCTTAAAATACCAATTTTGTGGTAAGAAAAACAAATTCAATTGAATAAAGTTTTTTCAAAAGTTTAGATTTTTAAGTGTCCAAACTAACAGAGCTTTAAATAACTTTTTTTATAACACTATAAGTTTCATTAGCGAAGGACCAAATAGGATGGGGTTGCAATTATTTTGCACTAATTACGGAAACGGTTTGATAAGTATAAAATGTTAAAATTACATTAATCAATGTAAAAATGTTATGATTCTAATTTTTACTTGCAAAAAGTATAAGCTGCCTTGATAATATATTTTTTAACAATGCTCATTGTTTTTCCTTTTAGGGTCAACTCCTTGTCACCTTTGGAGCTGTTGCCCTGTTTGTGTTTCACGAGGGCACCAAGAACTTTGCCAGGCGGAACATGTGGCTCTTCTGGGTTGCCCTGGGCGTGATGTTAATTACCATGTTGTCCATGGCCTGCTGCGAAAGTGTGCGCCGCCAAACGCCGACAAACTTTATATTCCTGGGACTATTCACAGTAGCTCAATCGTTCTTGATGGGAGTTTCGGCCACCAAATATGCGCCTACCGAGGTGAGCACCTTAAGTTATTTATCCCGAAGATTGTCATACAAAACCAAATCTCCTTTTTCATTCAGGTTCTCTTGGCGGTGGGCATAACAGCTGCGGTTTGTCTGGCTCTAACACTCTTTGCCTGGCAGACCAAATACGACTTCACTATGATGGGCGGCGTGCTGATCGTCTGCATGGTGGTGTTCTTGATCTTCGGCATTGTGGCCATGTTCATGAAGGGCAAGATCATAACCCTGGTGTACGCTTCGATAGGAGCGCTGCTCTTCTCCGTTTACCTCATCTACGACACCCAGCTGATGATGGGCGGCGAGCACAAGTACTCCATCAGTCCCGAGGAGTACATCTTTGCGGCGCTGAACCTCTACCTGGATATCATCAATATCTTCATGTACATTCTGACTATAATTGGCGCATCGCGCGACTAAGTTCCGCTCTTTTTCCAAATATTATGTACAGTTTAACCAGGTTAGGACTATTCCTGAATACGAATATTGTTCGCGCGTAATCTCATTGGTATTTACAGCCTCACCGGGTGGAGGCAATCTACAACTAACGAATTACTCAACTACTTACGACCTATCTAATTCGCATTGTGTTTGCCAATTTTCAATTTCCTTATAGTTCTAAATGTCAGTTAAATGAACTTACTTGTTTTGTTTCTATTTACGTATTGCCTAAGTTGAGGTCCAAGCATTCAGGATTCTTCAAAATTCCCAAAAAAAAAAGTATGATATATGTATACCAAATGATATGCCATTCAGATACACAAAACCACAAAAAAATAGTCACGTATAAGCATAATTATGTGAGAATATATAAGCAAGATGGCTTGCAGTTGTTAAAAACATAACATTTAACCGTGTGTAATAACCAAGGAATCCCGATTTTTGCAACTATTAATTGTAAACCGTGCAGCGACACTGAGTTTAAAGTCAACAATAAAGCGCATCTATTTATTAAAGCCGCCACAGACCCCAGCATTGTGGGGCTTCCGCCAGTGGTTCATCCAGTTCAGTCACCAGATGCAACTTTAGTGTGCAACGGCGGAGCAACGAAGGTGGTTGGATTACTTCTTCGGTCTAGACCTCTGTCGTCTACCTTCTGCTTTATCATCGCTTAAGTTTACTTTGTTATCTGTTATCTGCACCACCACAATTAGAAGGCGGGGTGTTTTAATTTTCGGGTTGGCCCCATAGCATGCTTTTGACCCGGCCACCTGTTCAGTAGTTCGTGTGAATTCCAGCAAGGCGTAGCCATAAAATGTATCACTACCAGCAAGGCAAGTACCGCCCGGATTGGGCTAAACTGCGGAAAAAGTGTTTTAGATTAGATAATCGACCTACCTATAGACTGAATAGTATATAGCTATTAGCTAACCAACTGCATTGAGTGTTCTCTGACTAAAAGACTAAGAAATATATCTCTCTTGGCGCACTTTCATCTGATAAGACAGCAGCAAAGGCTTATGTATGTGGCCCAGTACTGTGATTCACCTACTTAAAGGGAGAGTGCACAGTCGTGTTTAAAATTGTGTGGTGGCAATATATCAGTTACTCACCCACATCAATATGTGAATCTTATCTGCCGTGTGAGTGTTGGCCTGTGATAAGAGACAGGTACCGGCTAATCTGCAGTTGTCGGCCATATGGGGACACATATTTAGAAAGGGCGATTCGGTTCCATTAAGCTGAAATACTCGCACGTTGTCGGCAGTCGACAGTCGAGCAGAGAGAGCCCCATTACTTTAGTCACAGCGATTTAGCCATGAGCAGCGACAACCACTTTCAGTACGGTTAGTCATTGTATTAACTTTCCTATTTCCTTGAATTGTCTTCCAACCACATAGGCGATGAAACTGGCGCATATACAGATGCGGAGGCGGACAAGAGCTTTGCCTTCGATGACCAGAGCATCCGGAAGGGATTCATCCGGAAGGTCTACTTGATACTGATGGTAAGTGGAAAAATCTGAAGGGTTTTTCTTATCTTTCGCTTTTATAAAACAGAACGACGGTTGAGCATATTTTGTACATAAAATAATAGTGTACAAAAATAATAAACAATTTTTATTGGTATAATAATCTAAAAGTATACAAGAGTTTTTAAATATTCCACAAAATTAATTAAACTAATTCACTTAATTCACTTTTATAAAACAGAACATATTTTGTACATAAAATAGTAATGTACAAAAACAATAATATTTTTATTGGTATAATAATCTAAAAGTATATAAGAGTTTTTTAATATTCCACAAAAATAGGGTTGTATTGACTCATAACTTACTAATTCACTTTCTAAGTTTTATTGATATATTATACCTTCATGCCATTAATCTATGTATGATACCTGTTCTATTTTTAGTGCCAATTGCTGATCACTTTTGGTTTCGTTAGTGTGTTTACCTTCTCGAAAGCCTCCCAGGAATGGGTACAAAAAAATCCGGCACTCTTTTGGATAGCTCTTGTAAGTTTTTAAAGTTATGAAATATTCTTTAAAATTGTTCACTATTTAGTAACTCAATAAAATTATAATTTTTTAGGCCGTTCTTATCGTGACCATGATATGCATGGCCTGCTGCGAGGGTGTTCGTCGCAAGACGCCTCTGAACTTCATCTTTCTCTTCCTGTTCACGCTCGCCGAGTCCTTCCTCCTGGGAATGATCGCCGGGCAGTACGAGGCCGATGAGGTCCTGATGGCAGTGGGAATTACGGCAGCCGTGGCCTTGGGTCTCACTTTATTTGCCCTGCAGACCAAGTACGACTTTACCATGTGCGGCGGAGTTCTGGTGGCCTGTCTGGTGGTCTTCATCATTTTCGGAATCGTTGCCATCTTCATTCCTGGCAAGGTGATCGGACTGGTCTATGCCTCCCTCGGAGCGATTCTCTTCTCCGTTTACCTGGTGTACGATACCCAGTTGATGCTGGGTGGCAATCACAAGTACTCCATCAGTCCCGAGGAGTACATCTTTGCCGCTCTGAACCTCTATCTGGATATTATTAACATCTTCATGTACATTCTGACCATCATCGGATTGTCTCGCAGTTAGACGGGTCACGATGATCCATAGTTTCCATTTGCAGTTTTAGAGATATTTAACTTAATTTTATGTGCCAAGAGCCACGAAGAAATACAGACCGACTAACTATATCTAACCCTACGCTGCGGAGAGCTCGCTTTGATTTGGGACTTTTGGTTGGGATTGGGGCGCTCAACTAGTTCGAACCTTGTCCACGCCGCGGTGTCCAATTAATTAAGGCGCACGAGTGGCCGTAATGTAATTATGTCCAATCAGCCCCTGCAGTGCCGCCAGTTCCTGGACTGGATTGGATGTGGACAAGGTGATCGGCGCGATCGTCAGTTGTGCGAGCGTCTGGCTAGCGGGCGGACATGGATTTCGACGAGGTGCTGCGGGAGGTGGGCTCCTTCGGGCTCTACCAGAAGGTCATCATTTGCTCGGTGCTACTGCCCGCCGCCCTGCCCTGCGCTTTCCACGCCTATAGGTTGGTCATCCGGTTGAGTTTTAATCGATCCTATAAGAGAAGATATGAAACCTTAGATCTACTATTACTTATTGCCATTAATAGGGATACTGTGAAAGTGATTCCGAATAATAAACTAATGATATGATACCATCTTAGTCAGTTGTTCATAGCGGCCACACCGCAGCACTTTTGTCGGGTCCCGGAATTGGAACCGTGGGCCCGGGACTACGTGCAGCTTATAAAGAACCTGAGCATTCCGCGCAATCGCAATGGGGCCTATGCCGAGTGCTCCATGTACGCGAGGAATTACAGTGATATTGTGCGCAATCTGGAATATCGGCAGCCCTCGGATTTGGTTCGTCAACAGGTCGAGGATTTGCTTAAGTTGCAGCCGGATACAGCTCAGGTGGTGCCATGTCAGCATGGCTGGCACTACGACAAGTCCATATACTCCAGTACAGTGGTTCAGGAGGTGAGTTCTACCAATTAAAAAGAAATAATATATTTATACCCTTGCAGAGGGTCAGATGTTTGCAACGCAGTGAAGGAGACATTTCCGACCACATAAAGTATATATATTCTTGATCAGCATCACTAGACGAGTCGATTTAGCCATATCCGTCTGTCCGTCCGTTTTGTCCGTATGTTTCTACGCAAACTAGTCTCTCAGTTTTAAAGCTATCGGGCTAAAACTTTACCAAAAGTCTTCTTTTTTTTGCAGGTAGTATATATGTCGGAACGAGCCGGATCGGAAAACTGTAGCATATAGCTCCCATAGGAATAACGCGAAAAAAAATGCAAAAAAAAAAAAATTTTTTAAATATAACCTCTAACGTTTAAAAATACCATTTTTTCTGAATTTTGAATTAATTTGTTTCAAAATTATACAGCTGTCATAGGAACGATCGGAAAATTAATGAAATTTAACATTTTTGCGATTTGTATACTAATAGGAATGATCTGCAAGGGTATATAATCTTCGGCTGGCCGAAGCTAGCTTCCTTTCTAGTTTTTTTGATATACAATTTTTAAAAATGTATTTCCCTTGCAGTGGAACCTTGTTTGCGACCGTAGCTTCCTGGTTACCCTGGCTCTCGTGGTCTTCGGCGTGGGCGGACTGCTAGGTAACTATGTATTCGGATATCTGGTAGATCTGTGGGGCAGGCGTCCCTCCTTTTACGCCTACTTGCTGCTTGAGATCACCGCCTGTGCGGCTAGTGCCTTCGCCTGGAACTACTACACCTGGCTGGGACTGCGCTTTGTGGTCGGTCTGACGGTCCCAGCGATCCTGGCCAGTCCCTATGTCCTGGCCATCGAGCTGGTGGGTCCGGAGAGGCGAGTTTTCTGCACCATCGTCTCAAATATCGCCTATTCCTTGGGCCTGGTGGTGCTGGCCGGAGTTATCTACGTGGTCCGCGATTGGCGGGAGCTCAGTTTGGCAGTATCCATGCCCTTGCTGATGCTCTTCTCCTGCTTCTTCGTGTTGCCGGAGTCACCGAGATGGCTGATGGCCGTGGGAAAGACCAGGAGGGCCATGAAAATCCTCAAAGTGATGGCCAGAGTGAATGGAGTGCGTGTGAACCGAGATTTTGTGGAGCGACTGCAGCGGAAATTGGCTAGCTCGAGAGCTTCGGAGGCGGAATCATCTTCGAGTACCCACTACGGAATTCTGGACTTGTTCCGGGGACCCAATATGCGCCGGAAGACCCTGATCATCACGCTCATTTGGTTTGCCAACACGAGTGTCTACGTGGGATTGAGTTACTATGCTCCTGCCCTCGGAGGCGATGAGATCTGGAACTTCTTTCTGGCCGGGGCGGTGGAACTGCCCACGTACCTGCTGCTCTGGCCGGGATTGAGCTACTTTGGGAAGGCGCTGGATCCTGTTCATCTCGATGCTGGTGGGCGGAGTGGCCTGCGTGGCCACGTTCCTCTATCCGGACATCACGCTGCTGCTCTACTGCGTCGGCAAGATGGGCATTAGTTCGTCCTTCGTGGTCCTGCCGCTCCTGGCTTCGGAACTGTATCCCACGGTGGTGCGGGGATTGGGCATGAGCTTCAGCTCGGTGGTGGCCATGGTGGGACCCATAGTTATTCCAATGATTAATCATATGGTGAGTGGAGAGTCGGGGATTATAATTGATAAATAATCCTAATCTACTATCCATTTCAGGGCCAGCAAATGCTCGTCCTGCCTTTGATTGTGATGGGAGCTCTGCTGATCCTGGGAGGATTTGCCAGCCTGCTGCTGCCGGAGACCCGGAACCGCAATCTTCCCCAGACTCTGGATGAGGGCGAGGCAGTGCCCCTGAGTTTCCTCCTCTGCTGCTGCGTGGAAAGTGAGCGAAAACCCAACAATATTCGGGTGAATCCCCAGAGAAGGATTATTCCGGAGGGCGGAAGACCGGCATTCCATCGCGTGGACACGCCTGTTTCCGGTAGAATTGCCTGCAAGGTGGTTTGTAGCATTTGTAATAAGGAAATGCGTACTCTTTAGTTAGTCAAAAGTTGTTAACATAGCAAATTCAATTAAAGTTTGAAAATATCGATTTCTTTTTACTTTATGGCGGCATTAAATTGTGTGCCATCTGGCAACGCTGCATGTTATGTATGTTTGTATGGGCTTACAGTGGTTGTGGATTATTTGAATTCGAACTTTTTATAGCAATTTAGAATACTTTGTGAAATGTTAAAATAGTTGCATAAATTAAATGTTATGCCTAAAATGTGTAAACATGAAGAAAATATTTAATCATTTGGGGAAACTTGTACCTTAATGTGCGTTTAAAATTAGTAAATTAGTACTCCCAAAATTTAGATGTCCATATTTTATTTTCACACCTAAAACATATTAACGGTTATTTTACAAGGATTTTGAATAAAATTCTTTTTATAATTCTTAACTTTGTAATGTGTATATACGTGTTTTAAAAGAGTTGGCAGGCCAACCGGCAAATTTAAATGGTCCAAAATCAATGCAAATAAACGAACAATTGGACATCTATCAACACCAATTAAAGTAGCATATTTCTTTAGATCCAACACAATTTGTACTCCAATGACCTCGCAAGTACATAATATAAACGCGAACATTTGCATTAACCTTAATAAGTTATTATGGGTCGTCGAAAAATGATAAGGGACCGCAACCGCTTGTTTATGCACATATAGAAGCTTCAAGAAACATTCCGGTTGAACTGGTCTAATCGCAATTTTAAGCCAATTTAAAGGTGACTCATTGGAAGATTTTCAAACCATAACACACGAATACCAGCATAAAGATACACCGCATGTTCTGGCTTTTCACCTTTGGATTTGGCCAGATAATTGGGAAGTTACGAGCGGGTTAAAGTTCCCTTTGAAGAAGTGTTTTCTAACATCTGGGTCTTTAACTTATTATGCCCAATGTCAACAAGTTTTGACTGCCGCGTGCTTTTTTCACCGCCCCTCCCACCCCTTGAAAAACCTCACACAAAAGCGTTGCTATGCATACACACACAGGCTCACTCACACACATGTCGATTATGCAAGCTAAAAAAAATAATACAACCAAAAGAAAGCGAGAAATATGGATCTTTCGTATGTTTTTTACAGTTCTTTTAATGTAATGCATGTATGATGGTCTAAAACAATAGTTTACAAATTATAAAAACGTTTTCAACAATTTTGGTACATCGAACGATCGAATCGAAATCAAGTAGTTATGGTCTCATCTTGTTTACGTTTTGAATGGAGGATGGTTTGAGGTCGGGGTCACATCGAAAAGTCGGAAATTCGGGAAAATCGGTAGGAGCTAGTGCTAAAAATATATTCCTCTGTCTTCGCGACCTGGCAATGACTTCTTCTGGAGTGTCTGCGTTATTCCCCTAATCACCTCGCTTCAAATTCTTCCGAAAACCGTATATATATATCGTATATAGTGTGTATTACGAGCGCATATATCTATAGATACATCTGTGTATGTTCTTGGGAGGGCGGCAAAAATTAGAATGTGTGTTGTTTGGACTGTTGTTCTTTTTTTTCTTTGTTGGTTAAGGAAACGTGCTTTAATCGCTTTGGAAAATACATTTGACGGTTCCAAACTATGACTATTAGATTAAGATTGAAGGGTTCCCTTAGTATGTTAAGTATAGTTATTATGCTTATGTGTTCTGTTCAGCGCTCACTCGGATGCCTTTATTTTTTGTATTTTAGTATAGTGTGTAGCATGACCCCCAAAAAGTGGCTGAAGGGAGCACGAAGGATGGCCCATCCAGGGCAGAACGGCCACAGACCGGAGTGGTTCCGTTCCCGATTTAGGGGGGTACGGAATAGGGGAGTGGTATGATTCCGGGATGCGTCAGTGTGTCCTGTATGCCTGCCCCTTCGATTTGCTCCCCTTGGCCCGTATGTTTTGTATGTGTGTTTTTGTGTGTGGTGTGATTTGTCCAATTGGATGGGGTTGGACCTGCCTAAGCGGAGGCCGCCACCTCACCGGACTTCTCCTCCTTTGTGCCGGCGATGGCCACCTCCTCGAAGTTCTCGACCAGATCGGGCACATCGTCGTCACCGGCATCGGCGGCCGAAGAACCGGCTGCGCCGCCGGCGCCGCTCTTGTTGGCAATCTCCGTGGCCAGCTTCTTCAGCTGGTTGATGTCCTGGGGGCCCAGTTGCGTCAGGATGCCGGGGACCATCTCGGTGATCGTCTTGTTCTCGCCATGGCCCGTGATGGCGAACGTGTTCGTCGGCAGCGAGGCCTGCGCCTTCGGGTTGTTGAAGTGGATGACGGTGCCATCGTTCTTGATGATGTTCACCTCCTCGATGCCGGGAATGGTGTTCACCGACAGCTTCTTCAGCGACGACTGCAGCTTCTTGTCGTCGGTGGCGGGCGTGGAGTGGACAATCTTCTTCTTGCGGCGGGGGGTGCCCTTGCCGCCAATGCGCACCTGCGCCTGCAACTTCTTCAGCTTCTCCGGATTCATCTGGTCAACGGGAAGCACACAAAATTCGGATTAGTAACGTCCCAATCGGATGCCGCACAATTTGATATTTACTTTGATTTTACTATAATTTAGCACAGAGCCTTGCCCGAAAACACGTGCGCCCAGTTGTAGTCAAATGTCAAAAAGAAATCGCCATGATAAAAATGGCAAAAGAGGTATGTATATGTGAGTAGTACTGGTAGGAAGTACTAAACCCGACTATCGATAGTTCGCCAGGTGGCAACGATGGCGCGCTAAAAATGCATATTTCGTTTTTAAAAGATTTATTACACTTCTACGAATCACAATTTAAAGAATAGCCTAAAATACGCCTCAAAAAATAAATCAAATATTATCATATAATCATCCTTAATGTTAAAAAAAGTAGTTTTACTATAAATCTTTTTGTTGGTGTAATAAACTACATATATATTTATTAGTATATTAATAATACATTTCTTAATTGTATTAAACTTATTTTTTATTTTCTCGGCCATTTAATTGCAATCGATAGTTATACGAAGCTGTGTTTATTGAACTCTCTATCGATTGCTCACTAAACACATCTGACAGAACTAGTGCTGCAAAAGGCGCCCAGTTGACAACACTATACTTAGCTTGTTCATATCACGATATTTTATTATTTGCAGATTAAATCTTGATAAGATATAATAGCCAATTCCGATCAGGCTATAACAAAGGCCTTCCGATTGAGTAGTTAAATGATATTTTGCTGACTTCCACGTGTGCTTCGAGAAAGTTTTAGATTCTGGTAATTTAACACTGCATTTTTGTGCAATAACGGCAACAAGTGGAATTTTCGAGTTTAAATATTTAAAAGCCGCAATAAACCGTAACCTTAAGCCAAACGTGAGTATTTCATTAGGGCCCATTGACCTCGCAACGTATAATCATAAAATTTAAACTTTCTGCCCAGTGGACGAATTTGAATTGGACGATTTCGAAGGCGCAATGGATTTCTGGGGTATTTTTATGTTCTTCCTGCTCACTTTCCTAATCATGAGCTGCTGCGGATATTGCTGTACCAGCAGACGCCAGGGTGCCGTATTGTCCAGTAAGTAGAAAAGTACATGTATATATAAATAGAGCTATTTATCAAAAAACCCCCTTATGAGTCATGTCCTCCACAACAAAAGAAAACAAAAACAAAAAACGGGTGGAGTTCCATTTGCTTGAAAACCCAATTTCAGATTAATATTTGTGTGCGTGAGGTTATACGAAATCATATTGTTTCGTGATAACTCGAGATAAATATTAAAATACTACAAAAACGAGAGAGAGCATTTTTCTTGGCTCTTTTGAAGTTTTCGCTTCTCCACTGATTCGTAAACAAAATTAATTATGTTCGGCCATAAACGTAATTTACTTTATCAGCCTGTGCCCAAGTAATTATCTAATTAGGTTTATTTATATGCTTACCTTATCTTATTTAAACAAATGGGTTGTCTCTTTTTGGCCAGGATTTTCCCATATATTTTTGTACCCTTTTTCCACCATTAAATTTAGTTCACTCTGTGTACAGCTAGGTAAAAAAGTATCTTTTTCATTTCAATGCAATTTAATATTAATTTAAATGACTCATTAGCGCTTGGTCGATAACGTAATGATTTATTTTTATAGATAAGCAACTGACAATTGTATCCATGGCATAGCAGAAAATATACTTTCTGCAGTATTCTGCCGACTTTTGAACCGAGCGCCACGTTAAAAAGATTCTTTTGAAAATGGTTTACATTTATTTCGATGTGTGGTTCCCGATTATGATGGTGTTCTTTATAGTGGTTTTAATACTCATCCTTTTGCGGGTTCGTCGAGCCCGTCGACTTCGAATGGGCAACTCAACTGTGATCACCGCCGGTGAGGGCAAGTCATTAAATAGTAATCGCGGGATGATCGGAGGTCCTATCTCCGATTCTGGGAATCGCTCGAGACAGCTGGGCTATCGAAATCTAATCATAAGTGCTTCATGTCCAAGTCGCCATTTGCATCGAGCACCTTTGATTATCGCCTTAATTTACAAATCATTAGTGTTTTCCATCAAATCAATTCAGCCTCGTGTAGCCTTGTTAACATTTTCGGCAATCTGTATTTCCAACCGCTTGACGTCAAATATTGTTCGTTCTTCTTCCCTTTAGCGAAATGATATTAAATTATATTTAGTGGTGTTCAAATTAGGCGATAGGGTGTTGATTAGATGACCACAAATAGTTCGGACAAGGTTTACGGGAAAACCGCCCAAATCTACCCATTTTTCAATGCGTAAAAAAGGTTTTTTATGTCGAAAAACTGAGTTTTTCACTTGAGATAAAAGGTTATTATATAAGTAATGTATCCACAATTTATAATAATTTTTAAAACTAGGTATATAAGTTTTAAAGGAATCCAATAAGGTTTTAAAAAGACCAATAAAACTAGGTATATAAGTTTTAAAGGAATTTAAAAAGGTTTTAAAAAGACCATGATTGATTTATTGATTGTTATTTATAAAAGTATGCTTTGATTTAAATGACCTAAAATGTTAGGCCATTAATGGCCTAAAATGGGGTAATTTTTGGCCTAGATTTTAGGTAATACGCTGCCTTAAAATATGAGAAAACCCCTATTCAAAATTTTAGGCTTTCTTTGGCCTAAAAATTTGTACTGAAAAATGTTTTATATTATAAAGTAAATACAGAGAAATTTATAGCTAACTCGAGGTCAATGTCGGCTTAGTCTTCAAGAAGTCGTCATTATTCCAACACACAAAAACGAGCGAAGAGGCTTCACTGTTCAGCAGTGAAATCGCTGTTTTATTCAACGATCGAAGTGGGTTACCATGCAAGCCGCGCTATAACTGGTTGGGAATTATAGCGTCGCTAGATCGGTATCAGAGTTCCGTGAAAATTTATTTAGGTAAAATGCATTAATTTTAAGGCCCACGATGACCTAAACTATTAGGCTATACGGGACCTAAATAGTAGGGCAAATATACCAAAAGTTTAAATTTTTAGGCATTTAGAATGTTTTAGGCTGTGCCAGACCTAAAATGTTGTCCATCATTTTTCTGGGTGTTGCAAGAGAATTTTCTCATATTGTAAGGACAATAACTTCATTAAAAATAATTGCTTGAAGAAATGAATACAACAGTACTTGATAGGTGATGCAAGGTAAGCTATTATTTTACTGGGTTCAAGCACCCCCAGGATGTCTGTTTCTTTCAAGAACCTCATTTAATTGCGTTGTTCAGAAATAAGATACTTCTTGGCATATTGTCAATAATGAGTTTGTTGGTTCAGTACTTCAGACAGACTTTCATTTTCTCTGTTTCTGCAGAAAAGTTATATGTCGGTCTATTGACCGGTGTTTTTCCTTCTCGGTTTTATTGTTTACCATCCATGCTTGGTTCGATAAGCGTAATTAAATTATTTGATTAGCACTGACGTCAGCGGCGATCGGAGATTTGGGAATCGTAGAGGGTAATCGCATCGGTTGAGGATCCTCCCAAGAGTAATAAATTTCGAAATCGAAACCTAATTTCTCTATTTGATTGATGCGGACTATTGACGCAGGTTTCAAGCTGTAAATACAATGTCCACTTGAAAATTTTATGGCTTCCCCCCGAATCTATGCTAGCTTTTGGCACCGGTATCAGGACTATATGGCGTCTTTAAGGCGATTAAACGCGCAGAGCGTCACCACAGATACAGCGATGGGTGCTAATCTAATCGCACCGCTTTGAACTGCCTTCGGGCCTTATGGGAATCCGAAGACCGTCTGGACTCTTACAAAAGTCGGCGAGGAAGCTCATCCAGTTCGCAATAATCGTTCAACGTCTGCGCCATGAACACTGGAAACCCATCGCAATTTCGCATTACCGTGGCGTAGCTTCAATACCCATCGAACAATCCTCAAGACTGCCTGCCAATCGAATCTATTAGTTAGTAAATCTCTGAAAAAAAAAATAGTTTTAACTGCTATCGAAAAGATGCCGCACGTTCCGGGTGAGAAGGATCTGGAGACCTCCACAATTGTCTTGTGCTCCCTGTTCGCCGTGGTCCTCTGTGTACTTCTGGTGCTCATAATACGCTGGGCGATCGGCAAACGGAACCAACGGCTGGCGGACAAGGCCGTGATCGAAGCAAGTTAGTATCTGGTTCACTGGAAAAGTTATTCCAGTCCTCCGATTTGTTGCTGTCCTGTGCCATTCCGAGTTGGCAGACGTCTAAATATAGTGTTATGTATAAGTTCCTCTGTGTTGTTTGGTCCAAAATGTTGGAGAACAAACCTGTCTAATATTGTGAAAATGTCTAAATATGTACTTGTATTTCTTTTGATCCGTTGTGTATTTTATATGTATTAAACAATTTTACGTTTATTCTGTACAACAACTAGCATTTGAAACGTAATGCTTGAGATTTAGGGATTACTCAATATGGGTTTCCAAGTTGAAACTAATAAAGGATACAAGTTTGGAGTTAACTTAGAAGATACATAACATTGTTTATGTTAGTGAGATTTATGCAGATTACAAATACTTTGTTAGTTCCCCTTAACTGGGTCTTTTAATTGAAAACCCGTTTTTTTGGACCCTTTTTAAAAAAATTCTTATTTGAAAACGGAAAGAATAATTGAAAATTTCTTTATTTATTGTATTACAAAAGGTTCAAAGTAAATGAAAATTTTTTTTTTGCCTCGATGCGAGGCTTTTCTTTATTTGATCACAATTATTTTTTTTTTTTTGTTTTTTGTTTATAAAGTGTTGCTGTAAATTCTGTGCAATTACTTAAGATATATTAGAGAAATTGCTAAGAAATCGTATTAAAATAATACCCAATCGAAGTTCCATAAAAAAAATTGGCGCTTTCTGTTGCTCTTCGGATAAAGACAAACTTTTATAAATTCAAGTTGCTTATCGCTATGTTGTTTTTAAAAACTGTGACTCTCATATAAAGATTAAATAATTTAGAAAGCAATTTTCACTCATAATTATTATGAGTAATTTGAGTTTTGCGGTTCCAAAGTATGATAAATGTTTTCAGTTCCGTTTCTCGGTTCCTTACGGTCAAAAGTGTATTCAACATCTACAAAATGATAAATGTAACGCGTGTTTTGTCTATCATGGTAACGGCAAGTCTAGTCGCAATTTTCTTAATTTTCTGCTTTGTGTGGATAAAGTGTTTCTGCAAACGCATTAAAAGGGGTATGGATTACTTCCGCATATTTCTGAAACAAATTGTTACAAATATTTTGTGTGACACCCAATTTGATAAGAGTCTATCGCTTTTTTACTCATAAACTCGACTAAAAATTACGAAAATAACGAAAGTTGTTGACTGGATAAGTCAGTTTCTTTGGAAGTGTGTGATCCATCAGTTGACTTTTCTCTTCGGTGCAGTCAAACGTTCTTTTTAGATTTAAACAATAACAATGTCACATTTCTGGAGCTATAGAGGACCACTATCTCCAACCAGGATAATACTTTATTTAATTTTTATTTGTATTATTATTTGCGCATTAATCATAATGTTTTGCTGTAAACGCAGTACTAAAGGTATAAAATGATTGATAGTAGTTAATTCTAGAAGGGCGGGTTATATTTACGAAGACTGAGTCGTAAATTGAAAGCCCGATTTCTTTTTATTATACCTATTCATAACACAATTTTAAAGCTGTAAATTTATGTCCACTTGAGAAGTTTTATTGTCCCGATTATATGGTACGACTGACAAGACTGTATTTCGTTAGAGCTATTCCAATTGCATTGTTTTCTTTTGCAATGGATGTTACAGTTGCATTTGTAGTAATCTATCAAAAGTAGAAACGCTTAGATCCTGGATTCATTTGAAAAAAATGATTCATGCCATTCCGAAAACACATTCTTTGGATTCACTAAACTTGAGTTAACTTAGGAATATCACTTGTTTGATAGTAATAATTAAAAGCATAAACAAACGTTTAAGAAACTCATAAGTGATGTTTAAATCATACGAATTTTTAAAGAAGTCTATCGTTTGGTTACTCATTTCTTCTTAAACCCCATTTTAAATTTTAGTAAAAAGTCTGCGTTCATAGAAA